ACATGCCATTCAAAGGAATATTCACACAAGAAATATTCATAACCACGGAAAAAAAGTAAGTCTGATGATCTATCTGTATGTCCATTTCCTTTTGGACCCACCGTAATCAGATTTCACATATTAGCATTCACACCACAATGTTTCTATTAATGTGCTTCAACAACATACACACACACATTCAGTCAGTAACCATGCATACACTCATGTCAAAATGTGCTTCAGACACATGTACATATATACATGCTTTATATTGACTTTTTGTCTATGTATATATAATTTCTTTGCATTATGTTGTATTTGTAGGCATAACACTTGGATTTTAATTTTTCACTTTTAATCTGCATAGGCTGACCCTACACCCCTTAGGAGTAAAGAAACTACCACATGTTCTTTAGCTACTGCCAGTCAAAAGACACCATCTGTCTCCTTTATCATTTTATTTTTGAATTTGTGCTGAATTGTTATTGTTTCTGTTTGAAAAGGAGTTTTCCTTGTTTGTGTTGTTCTTTGAAATGTATTTTGTTTATCCACTTCCCCTTTTGAGAGATATATTTGTTATTTGTTTTCTAGTTTTCAGTGTATTTCCTGAATAAAAGAATAACATCAGTATGAGGTACGGACCTTTTTCATTGAGACCTGTGGTCAGTTACAGATTTGTTGATATCTTTTGAATTTTTAATTAAGGAATACAAATTATGCTTTACACTTTCCTGTAAACAAAGTATTTTTCTTTCTCTTCCTCAAAAAGTGAATCATAAAATTGTATTCGCGTTATGGTACATAGATTGTTTTTTATCTAACTTAACGATTTCTAAGAGCTTTTATTTTTGAAATTGCTAGAAAACTACCAGAAGCAATTCTCTTAACTTTTAATCTCACTCTAGATGACTAATGAACAAACTGTAAAGATCTCATATTATGCTGAACTATTTTTCAATTGCTTCTTTTGCTTTTGAAACTCCACAGTTCCATATTTCTTGATCTTTTATAGTGCCATGATTATCTTTTATACATCCATGACCATCTTGTATACTTCCATGATTATCTTCTATTACAAATCTAATAGTATTGGTACAGAACAGTAGCAAACAAATTTAATTAGTGCTTCAACAAAGTCACCCACTGTTTATGATTTAATTCTTTTAAAATTGTTACTGTGATCTTTTTCTGTACTATTCATATTGCTACATATATTCCATCAATAAAATTGTCGATGTGTCAATGTGACTCATGGACTGCATAAATGCTGCACTGCTATTTCCCTTGATGATTCCCATGTTACAGAGAATGAAGATGTTACTCCCATACACACATTGGAATGTCTACTCTGCTATTCATTACAATGAAATTATATTCCAATGTAGCAACTAAAATAAATGTTTCTTTGGAGAGCAACCCAATAAATCTTAAAACTTTCTAGGAGACTGTTAGTTTTTTCCTGATTGTCAGGTTATGATATGACATCATGAACTCAAAAAGAAAAATACAAAATAGTTCCCATTAGAGGATAGGCAACATTGCATGGAAAATGAAGTAAGCACCAAATGGAACAAGTTATATTCCCAACAACAAATTTATTACTTTATAAGTCATTACAAATGTCCATTATATTTTGATATGAAAATATATATTCTTAAAAGCATGTAACAGAAAAAACATAATTTTTCATTCATGCATTTTATTAATTCAAGTTAATAATTGTAGGATTAAGAGAATATAATATTTCTAAGATTTTTAGTTAAAAAAAATCATTTTTAATCATTTCACTGCAAGCAATAAAGCCACTAAGGTGCAAGAGGTTACGGAGTGTTAGAGAACATGAGAAAGAAAAAAAAACGCTATTAAAGAAAGATAACAACAAAAGAAGAAGAATTAAGAAAGCAGAAGATAATGATTGTCATTGCATGTAAATTTTCAAAGATCAAAAATTGACTGGGAAGGAAGAAGCCACAAGCAAGAAGTTTTATAGGAGAAACTATTAGTATAAAACTCATAGTTACATCTAGCCATTTCCACTGTAAAATGATGTGACTTTGCAGCTATAAAGTCTTGGTACCAAAGAGGAAAGTTCATCCGATCAATTACCGTAAAAGTATTTAGAGAAAAGGCATAGGGAAGCTACATTACGGCAGTGGAAAAGTAACTGAAGCCAAGATGTCAGGTCAGAACAGCAGACATAGCAATTCATTTCATATAATCTTTCCACTTCATATCAGCAGAAAATGTTAGTCTGAGAAGGTGCACTGAGTCACTCTCCTGGAGGTTAGCATTAGCCATGTTGATGAAAGGTAAAAAGGGTTCTTTCAGATGGCTAAAAGTAAACAGTTTCATTTTAGAGGTGTTAAAATTAACAAGCTATTCCTTGCACCAGTTAACAACAGAATGTAAATCATTTTTGAGATCTGCTGCCAATTTGACCGTATGGAACTGCTCAGACTTACTATTAAGACAGGAATAAATAGTTGGGTAATCAGCAGAGATACCTAGAACTGATGCCATCAGGAATGTCATTGAAGTTTATTCTTGACATTCCATCAAGTTGAAAAACTATTCTGAAAAAATACTTATTTTTTTCAGTAATGCTTTTAATTCATGTGGTATGAATTTGATAGTTATTTAAATATGCATAAGTCATTACCTATTTGCTAGAAAAGATTTAATTTCTATTTTTGAAATCTTAAATTTCTCTTATTTAATTTAATGATTAAGATGATAAACAAGAAACAAACTATTTTATGCCATAAGTTAATGTATACATTGTTTTCCAGTAAAAACAACAGATTATGGAGACATAGCAAAGACAAATCTTATTATTTTCTCTTTTTATTCTTGAAAACTGGTTTACAGTAGCAGTAAATGATTACTCTTCTTCTCTATGATGGATCATCAGACAATTTCTTAAATTGTCACTGCTTATCTTCTTCTAATGATGGATCATCAGACAATTTCTTAAATTGTCTGATGCTTATCTTCTTGTAATGATCTGTGGGTATAAAAGGAAGTCATTCCCTATCCTACCTTTTCAAAATGGAAAGGATTTTATTAAATGGAGTAAGGAATGATTTGGCTAGAACATCATTCAATAGGAGTAGATATATTCACCTATTGTCCGGTTCACACTACTCCACAGTTTTTTGTAGAGGAGTAGAGGTTTATTGTTACTTGTTTAGGGTTGGGTTTCCAGTTCCTTAAAGTCTTCTCATTCACTTTCACTCTCAGTAGCTCCTTGCATCTTAATGGCATTATTGCCTTTCTTAAAAAAATATTATTATTTCTAGAAATTGCAACAGATCAAATTATCCTGAGAAAGGCATGCCAATCAATTCTATTACTTATGGCTGAAGAATTCCTTGAAGGAATTCCTTTTGTTACCAACTTCACTAAAAATCATACCAGTATGCTATATACTCATATTCCTACTTACAATTTGATTTAAATATGGACGGAATGGTAAATATACAAGACAATTTTAAAAAGGCTCTGACGTTCTGCTGCTCAAACAACATCACCAGAAAAATGGATTTCAATCAAATCTACACTGGCGAGACAGATCATGAATCACATTAAAATGCTGGATTTTTAAAACTTCTTTAACTGTATCGTTTTTTAAATTAGATTTACTAATATCAACTCGGTTTTTATTTATATATTCATTTGTTTTAAGATTTTTGTATCCTATGTTTCAATACCAGTAGTTTTAAAGTTTACATCGCCTATTCTTATTAAACTGGTGTTGAAACAATATGAAAAATCTTAAAACAAATAAATAAATAAAAACCGAGTTGACATTAGTAAAATCTCATTTAAAAATCAATTAAACTTAAAGTAATAAAAAAATCCAATATTCATATGATTAATTTATGAATGTTATTTATGTTGTGTATTGGTCTTGCCAATGAAGATTTGACTGAAAGTGAAATCAAAACCATTTTTCTGGTGATGTTTGATTAGAGTGACATGTCAAAATAAGAGTTTACCGAATTGTCTTTACACACAACTTATAATTCCTAATTCGGTTTGCAACAGTTCAAGTTCAACCAACTTTTTCTAGCATACTTGGTTGTAAAAAGTTTGAAAAATATGCTAATTTTTTTATGTTGATGGGGGGGAGGATATTTTTAAGAACATTAACTTTCCTTCTGAACGCCCTGGACTTGCTTAATAATTAGAAAGCTTGTTTGAGTTAAAAATGTGTTTGCTTCTCATTGAATGCTCCAATACACGTAGCCTTGTGCCAAATTAAGTAAAAGAACAACTTCAAACCTAAAGTGAAACAAAAACGAGGTAAATCATTTTTAAATACAAGAGAAAAATAGAATAACACTTTTTTAACTTATAAATTAAGTTTAAAACTAAATTAAAGTTTTAAACCATGCCATAACTTTCTTTTTAGATTTAAGTTGTTTTACTGTTTAAAAAATATGATTGGATTTTATTCTTATTAAAAACCAAGTGAATAAATTGTTCTTACATTCTCGACTTGTAATTTTTCCTTTGCAGAAAGAAATTAGAGCACAAATATGCACTAGGGATCATTGCTTATTTCTTCTTTCCTTCTTCCAATCTGATTTTATTTGCACGAATTATGGAGACTCTTTCTTTTTGTTCAACTTTCTGTTGTTCCATCTTTCCTTTCTATTTAGTGCCGTAAATGACAGAAGAAACATTTCTTATTGAATTCATTTTAAAACAGTTTATTGAATAAGAAATACGTAAAACTTTTTGCATCATGTGGAGAGAGTGCATCAATTAAAAGTCTAAGACGATTTTCAATTACTTCTTACGAAACAGAATTATGATCTGAACGGAAAAAATCCATAGGCATTTTAAGTTTATAGAAAAAGTGCTCTTTCTTATTTGTGTGTGTGTGTGTGTGTGTGTGTGTGTGGCTGGGAAATTAGTATTTCAGTTACAGTAGTAGACGTTATTGTCTCTAAAAGTCGAAGTACTATTTTAGTAGTATTTAGGTAAGAATTATAAAGTAGTAATGTTTTACTTACTTGGCATTTCAAACACGCAAGTCACCAACAACGATGTGGAATAACTCAGACCTTGATATCAGTGTCTTGTTTACATTATTCACTTTCAACATTCTGATGAATGTACACACAGGATTGCAAGTCGCAGAAATCTTTAAGCAGACGATATGGAAGCCGAGGAAAGCGAAAATTGCGATGTGTAATTTTTTTTAACGTTCACTTTTTTTTTTTAAGAAATGTTAGCAGATCTTTACTTTTTTTATCCCCTGATAGACCTTTCGTTTTTGGTTTTTAACACGTCATAATTTTTTCTTTAACTTTATGTTTGGTGACATTATCAAAAACAGGAAAAAGGCATTCTTTTTTCTTCATAAAAATTTTTGTGTTCTTTTACTATACGAAGAAAAATGAACCATTTTTTTAGTCTAGGGTTCGAATTCTAAAAAAAAAAATGAAAGAATCAAAAGCAAAACAAACTCATCTAGATTCCGTTTCTTTAAGTCATAAAAAACCGCAACCAACCACTAAAAATGCTTTCTCTCACTCTAAAAAGGAATGGGTCAAGAAAGAAAGAAATTATTTTGATTATTTGTTGGTGATTTGTTGTAAGTCGCTTTTTGGAATAATTCACGTGTTGCTGTTTGTTTTATAAAAATAACTGGGTGGAATTATCTTTTAAATTGTTCTTCCAAAAGAATAAAGAAAGAAAGATCTGTTGACGTTTAGAGAATATCAAAGTTATGACTTGTCTTGCTTGGTTGATTTAAACATAATGACATAAGAACTGACACAAAGATGGTTTGGTAGCATTATTGCTGTGTAGACAAAGTTAGATACAATTTAGAGAAGCCAATCATTTAGATGTGATGATGATGATGGTAATGATGGAGATGCAGATTATTACTATATCAACTGATTCCGTGTCCAGTTTGTTACTTATAGTTTTATTACTGTGAGTGAGTAAGTCTGCAGTTAAGTTGCTTAATTGTAGACATTCCACCCTCGTTCGCCTTTCTCAATATATCATCATCACCTATATTTTGTTTGTTATTGCTTCAGCTTCTGCTTACTTCACCATTCTATTGCCTCAGCCTCATCCATATTCTGACTGCACTGTGTTTGGTTGCTGTTGTCAGGAGCTTTACAAGAGTTAGGAAAGATGGCTGTGTGTGTGTTTGGGATGAGCGTGCTATTGTATGGTAAATTGCGAAGATGTACGTGTGTATGAGAGAAATAAAATGTTTGCGAGTGTGTATGGAAAACAGTAAGGGATAATGATGTATGTCAATGAAACTGAAAGACTGGTCTGAAAATAACTGGGAGTGTAAGAAAGGAAAAGAAAGAGAGAGAGAAGGTAAAAAAAAAGAAAGTTGACATTTTTGTTGAACTGAGCCAACTTTGCCATAAGTCCACTTTTTCAACACCCGGTGAGGAACACACTTAGTAATATCTTGGAACTGACAGATATCTTATTCTCTTCATTCTGGCAAGAGAAAGCATCCAATTCACTTAAGAAGAGGAGCAAAGGCAAGAGGAAAAGTTTATTAGACATGAAGAAAAAGAGAGAAAATTACAGTAAAACGTGGTGGAGGTAAAAAGAGAGATACGAGTGAAAAGCTCGGATTTCACTTTCAGAAGAGTAAAACAGAAGAAAAAAAAGAAACGTTGAATGCGACAGAGGGAGGGTGTTTCAGAGAAAAAAAAAGGTAAAGTATTTGTACAGAAGAGAAAGGACATGAACGAAGAAAAAAAGAAAAGAGAAAGTGGGCTATAGGAAAAATTTGAGAGAAGGAGTAAGAGCCTGAAAGAAAGAAAAAGAGAAAGGTTAGTAAGAGAAAGAAACGGGTACGTGGGAGAGAAAAGTGCACACGTGTGTTGTTTGCGCTTGAGTAAGGGCGAAAAAAGGAATATTGTGTGAGAACACTTGACTCAAGGGTGGGCTGGAAGTGAGGACAAAAACAAAGAATGTGCTATTAGTAGGAAAAGAAACGAAATATACTACTCAGGAGAAAAAAAAGTGCGTGTGGCAGGATGTTATACTATATAAACTGTTTCCTATTTGTTACCTCAAGAGGAGATGGATGGATCCAATGAGAGAGAGATAGAGAGGGGTAGAGAGTGAAAAAAAGAAACGAAAAACAAATAACTGAAAACGGAAAACCTTTCATTGAGGGGGTGGGAGAAAAATCGAGTTTCATTTGTAAAAGCAGCTAGCCCCATAGTTACCAAACAACACAACCCACTGGGAAACCGTCTGCTGCTATCAAAACTCTAGGTCATCGTTGTTTACACAACTAAGATATTAGTAGACTACTAAACTTGTTGCATATGTATTTTTTTAAATAAATGTAAATTTCTTCCTAAATGGAAATGACAATGGTAATTAATTAGCCATTTCCAAATAAGGAAACATTCGGCATATTGACCGAACAGTTGGTGCTGCTTTCAGTTGAAATTTCTAAAATCTTTCTCTTAAAACAATTTTTCAGGAAAACAGGTTTCAGTTGAAATTTCTAAAATCTTTCTCTTAAAACAATTTTTCAGGAAAACAGGTTTCAGTTGAAATTTCTAAAATCTTTCTCCTAAAACAATTTTTCAGGAAAACAGGTTTCAGTTGAAATTTCTAAAATCTTTCTCTTAAAACAATTTTTCAGGAAAACAGGTTTCAGTTGAAATTTCTAAAATCTTTCTCTTAAAACAATTTTTCAGGAAAAACAGGTTTCAGTTGAAATTTCTAAAATCTTTCTCTTAAAACAATTTTTTCAGGAAAACAGGTTTCAGTTGAAATTTCTAAAATCTTTCTCTTAAAACAATTTTTCAGGAAAACAGGTTTCAGTTGAAATTTCTAAAATCTTTCTTCTCTTAAAACAGGTTTCAGTTGAATTTTTTTCTCTTAAAACAATTTTTTTTTGTTGGGTTTCAGTTGAAATTTCTAAAATCTTTCTCTTAAAACAATTTTTCAGGAAAACAGGTTTCAGTTGAAATTTCTAAAATCTTTCTCTTAAAACAATTTTTTAAAACAAAATTTCTAAAAATCTTTCTCTTAAAACAATTTTTCAGGAAAACAGGTTTCAGTTGAAATTTCTAAAATCTTTCTCTTAAAACAATTTTCAGGAAAACAGGTTTCAGTTGAAATTTCTAAAATCTTTCTCTTAAAACAATTTTTCAGGAAAACAGGTTTCAGTTGAAATTTCTAAAATCTTTCTCTTAAAACAATTTTCAGGAAAACAGGTTTCAAAAAAATCTTTCTCTTAAAACAATTTTCAGGAAAACAGGTTTCAGTTGAACAGGTTTTCAGTTGAAATTTTTAAAATCTTTCTTGAAATTTCTAAAATCTTTCTCCTAAAACAATTTTTCAGGAAAACAGGTTTCAGTTGAAATTTCTAAAATCTTTCTCTTAAAACAATTTTTCAGGAAAACAGGTTTCAGTTGAAATTTCTAAAATCTTTCTCTTAAAACAATTTTTCAGGAAAACAGGTTTCAGTTGAAATTTCTAAAATCTTTCTCTTAAAACAATTTTTCAGGAAAACAGGTTTCAGTTGAAATTTCTAAAATCTTTCTCCTAAAACAATTTTTCAGGAAAACAGGTTTCTAAAAAATCTTTCTCTTAAAACAATTTTTCAAAAACTTTCAGTTGAAATTTCTAAAAAAAAAAAAAAAAAATTTTTCAGGAAAAAAGGTTTCAGGTTTTCAGTTTCTCTTAAAACAATTTTTCAGGAAAATTTTCTCCTAAAAACAATTTTTCAGGAAAAACAGGTTTCAGTTGAAATTTCTAAAATCTTTCTCTTAAAAAAATTTTTCAGGAAAACAGGTTTTCAGTTGAAATTTCTAAAATCTTTCTCCTAAAACAATTTTTCAGGAAAACAGGTTTCAGTTGAAATTTCTAAAATCTTTCTCTTAAAACAATTTTTCAGGAAAACAGGTTTCAGTTGAAATTTCTAAAATCTTTCTCTTGAAACAATTTTTCAGGAAAAAGGGTTTCAGTTGAAATTTCTAAAATCTTTCTCCTTAAAACAATTTTTCAGGAAAAAACAGGTTTCAGTTGAAATTTCTAAAATCTTTCTCTTGAAACAATTTTTCAGGAAAACAGGTTTCAGTTGAAATTTCTAAAATCTTTCTCTTAAAACAATTTTTCAGGAAAACAGGTTTCTCAAGTTCAGTATATAACATTCTTTCCATTATTGATGGAGTTTCTTTCCTAACTTTTTATTTGAAGTAATGTGGAACATCAGCATTTTGATTTTTTCATTGTTTTCTCTTTGCATTACATGTATATCCATTTTACTTGTTGCTGCTGTTGGTAGTCCTCAAGTGATGTGGTTTCTGTTATTTGGTACAGTTCTTTGTTAATGTTTATGTAGTGCCAGTCCATAATATTCAAAAACGATGGTCTTTACTAAGATGCCCAAGCATCACTCACTCAAAGCTATTTTTAACCATTGATCTTAGAAAGCGGTTGTATACTACAGCTGACAGTTGAGATATTTCTGAACATGTTTGATGCCATACATGATATCCATATGAAAGTCTCAATCTGACAATGCTATTTAAGAAAATGACTCAAGAATGAACAAAAGAAAGCCAAAGGTTTGCCAATCAAATAGTAAATTTGTGCTATCCCCTTAGAAATTCTTGCAGATATCCTTGTTTAAAAGCCACTTTAACGGATTTAGCAGGAAATTTTAATATGATTTTAAAGCTTAACTTTGAAAACTTTCTTTTTGATTTGAAGTGTGTCAATAAAAATTAAAATTTGTTTCATTAAAAGTTATTTTGTATTCAAAATCTTGAAAAGTTACCTCCTATATCTCTCCAACAAAAACCTGCTTTAATCTCAAAAGTTGTGCCTTATCTCATCCCAAATCAACTCTGAAAATCTTTTTCAGATGGAGCTTATTAAAGGAACATATACTTGCCTCTAATAACCTCCTCAGTAGACCTAGCATAAAAATGAATAGCACTTTAGCACCTTTAATGAATAAAGAAAAAAAAAACTTAAAAAGGCTTAAAACATTCCACCATCTAATTACATTACAGGTAAAATCATCTTCTGGTTTAACTGAAAAAGCAAACAAGTAACATTAGTTTAAAAGCTCCAAGTTTTCACTATTGAACTATCCTACAGGATCCATAGCCAAGTGAATAGAAATATTACTTATATTGTTGTCTGATGGTCATGAATTCAATATCTGGATCAGATAGTAGAAAATGTTGTGGGGTCAGTCTATTATTTTTAGGAGGAAAAATAAAATCCAAGTGTCATATCGACAAATACAAAACAATTTTATAAACAATGCGAAGAAATGATCTTTGCAAAAAAAGGAAGAAGACCAAGCTAAATATGACAATAACATTTATAGAGTCAGATACATGTATTTATATATTAAAAATCAATGTTATTTTTATGGCCATGAAGAGACCAGTAGTTCAAGTGTTCAATGGTGATTTATCACAAATGAGTCAGCAAAGTTTCAAGGTGTTTTTTTGGCCATGAAGTGACTAATAGTTCAATTGTTCAAAATGATTTTGAGTGAGGAAATCACGTGGTATGGTATGCAAATGTGTGTGTGCGTGTGTGTGTGTGTGTGTGTAGCACATGTTAATGAAATGTGTGTGACTGCTGAATGATTGTATGCAATAGCAGTAATTTTAAAACACTGAAAAAAGAGAGGAGAAAGAAGACTTACTTTCATTGTGGTGTTGCATGTAGAAAATTCATCACTAACATATGCATTGTCATGGTATGTGTATCTATGTTGTTGATCAAGGCTGGTCTGGTTCACTGTCTTTCACTGATTGTGTCGTTACAGATTTGTCATTTACTGTTGCTGACAAGTTGTTTTTATTGCTATTTGACAGCAAAAATCCTGAGTTTTGTGCATGGTGGAGGGGAATGTACTCAGTAACCTGAGCCTTGACCCGACCCCCCCCCCAGTTATTTGGAGTTCAACTATGTAGTAGAGAGCATATCATGTGACTTGTCATATCTAATCAGGTTCCAGAAAGCACTTATTTAATTTGAAACTGTGTTTGTACATAATTGTAAAAAAGATTTTCATTTATTTGTAGTCATCTCTTACTTGTTTGTGCTTCTCCTATTTGTTTATTCTTAAAATATAGGAGTTTATATCATAATGTCATGTATATTCTGCTTCAGAAAAGACATCACAAGGATTTAATTGATTGAATTATCTCCCCTAGTATGTACAGCGGAATGAGAAACGCTATTCACATGGATTGAATAAAGAGTTTGGTTTGAAATTCCTGGAATAGTTACTAACTACAACAGACACCTGAAATAAACAAACATGTTGTGACTATAACAACCAAGATGAGGGTAGTAGTTTGAGTAAACTAGTGTTTTCTCATTTAAAAAAATTGGATAAAAATGATGCTTTGTCTGATTCTATAATAATTTTAGTCAATTGATTATTGTGCATATCTTTTGTTGACATTATCTCATTGCAGTTTCTGATCTATCTACCGATTTATCTATAAATCCTTTTCTGTTGATGTATTACTATTCATTTGTGTATAAACACATTTCATTGAATATGACTGACATAGGCTTTTCATAAAATATTTTGACAGTTTTGAAATTTTGTATACAATTTCTTAATTGACTTAGAAGTGAATCAAAACTCGCCAATAAATGTTATTAAATATGTTTTTTTTTATTTATTCCTAGTATAAAAAGTTATGTTTTTATAAAAGATTCCATTCAATCACTTCTAGTAAAACATCATTACAATGAAAAATGTCTTGGTTTATCAACAAATTTATAGTCTAATGATGAAAAAATTATTTATTTTACACACCAAATATGTTTCAACATAATCTTCTTCCTTGTCAGTGCCCTTAATTCAACATATCCTTACATAGATGAAACAATGGTGAAAATTTTCAGCTAATAACTGTACCAAGCTTTGCACTTATTGAACCACCCTTGTATATAAAGTTAAATATTTGTTTTTAGAAATGAATATCTGTAAACATGTGCTTGTTCTTATAACCACCAAGTAGTTATTCTACTCTCCAGTTGTCAAGTATTTCTTTCTTTCTTTCTATTTCTTCTTCTCCTTTCTTCCTCTCTTAATTGGTGCCTAATCTTTTCTTTCGTTATATTCCCTTTTATACTTCAATGTCATCTTTATTTTCCTTTTTGAAATGTCCAATTTCCATTTTCTTAAAAAATATT